TTACTGAGAAGAAAAAAAAGGGGGGGAATGAAGTACTAATACATGCCACGACACTAATGAGTCTCAAAAACATTATGCTAAATGAAACACACACAAAAGGTAACATATTATATAATTCCATTTATATGAGATCTCTTGAGTGGGCAAATCCATAGCAACAAGGTAGATGGATAGTTACCTACTAATAGTTGCGGTGGTTGGAGGAAAGAATAGAGTGACCACAAATGGATATGGGATATCTTTTTTAGAGTGATGAAAATATTCTGATATTGATGTGAATATTCTGAAATCGGTGTGAACCATTATCTCTAGTGGTGATGGTTGCACAATTCTGTGCATATACTAAAAATTATGTAAACGTATACTTTAAAAGGCTGAATTTTATGGTGTGTGAAATATATCACGATAAGGCTGTTATTTTAAAAATGTACTTAGAATAGTCGTTGGCACAAAGTACTACGTCTCTCAATACTCACTGCCTCTTCCTGGGGGAATCTTAAACATATGACACGCCTTAGCCAATGAAATGTGACTGGAAGTGATGTGTGTTAGTTCCTGGCAGAAGCTTTGGGAAACAGCATGTCATTCACCATATCACTTTTCCATCTGCTGTAACAATCAGAAATGCTCATCAGCGTGGGTCCTAGATTAAAAACGATGTAGAGCAGGGCAGCAGTCAATTTTTGGTGGACATGTAGCATGAGTGATAAATGATGTTGTAAGCCCCTGAGATTTTAGGATATGATAATAACAACTAATATAATTACCACCACTGGCAGAAATTAGGAAATAGATACTGTCGCACCATCACCTCAAGCAATACATTTATGTGCAAATACCATGTAGACAGTGGAAATGTAGAACTAGAATGCAGATGAGAAGTCAAGGCAGGAGAAGAAACATTCGAATAAATAACTGTTTACTGAGAGGCCTGTACCAGTTCTGGGGAATCAGAGGTGCCATGCATGATCTCTCTTTAGCTAACATTGATTGAGCACTCACTATGCGCCAGACCTTTTGGGCTCTGGTACATGCGTTGTCTCCAGTCTCGCCAAAGAGTGGTTTGGTGATGAACAAGAAGCTTCTCCAATTTTGACCCACAAATAAACAATTCTATTTTAGAGAATTAGTGAAGCAAATAAAAGGTTGTGGGATATGTTTAAAATAGCTACAGAGTGTCAAGGGCTGTGAGCCAGACCAAACAACACACCTTCCCACACACCCCACTTGGGCCTGTGATTACTCAAATCCCAGCACTGGCCAGGGGAGCTGCCCTGCCAGGAACATCCCTCCAAAGAGCACAAACTGGAGGCAGTTTGCCAGAAAAGGGCAGAGCTAGACTTGGCCTTAGGCTTCAAATTGACTAAGACTTAACTGGGGAGCAATGCATGACATTTTTCTTTATATTTATAAATTTATGCTTCACATGATGCCTCTCCATTGTTTGGTTTTCCACTTCCTCACCTGGCAGTTTGCTTTTGCAGTTCTGGTAGTAGCTGGGCCTGGCTACTACCCAGGGGAGAGGGATATGGTGCAGAGACTCCTTTAGGCTGAGCAACCTAAGCCTGAGCAGAAGCTTATCTGGTAATAAGGAGGTTGCAGAGATCAACATTTATTCATGCACCAAAGTTTTTAAAACTCTCTTTGTAAATGGAGCGTGGTTGACCCAGTCCTGAGCTCCAGTGAAGGGCACAAGCTGGACCTCAAGACACATGAAACAAGAGATGATGCAGGGCAGTTGGGGGAAGCATCAACATGGTCAATTCTGCACACAATTGTACCCTGAAGGTAGAAGTACAGGAGGGACACCTAGTCCAGTCCTGGGGTGACACTGGAGACCAGGAAAGCCTCAGCCTGGAGAGGAAGAAGAGCTTTTGGTACAGGAGGAGACAAGGTTCGAGGGCGGTGACTTGACTGGCTTCTCTGCACCAGCCTGCCGTGTGCAATGGCCACTTGCCCCACCCCTCGGAGCAGAGGCAGGGAGCAGTTAGGAGCTCCCAGGTGCATCTCAACTGCCACCGCCTCTCTCAGCCTTGGAGTCTCTCATGTGTACAGTATGCATTTCCTTTTTTAAAAAAATCAGAGAAACAACATCTTTAAAGCCAACTAGTTTCTTTCCACCTGGCCCTGCTCTCTCCTGTTACTGAAGACAGCCTCAGAAGACCTTTTCCAAGTCTCTGAAAAAGTGGCCAGCCCTGGGAGACAAGGGAGTGAGGACACAGCCACTGATTGATCTTACTGTGGACACAGTAGCAGCTACCTTCTAAGAGTCAATTCAGGAGGTAATAAAAAGGTTCTCTGGACCTGAAATCCTACACACTGATTTAAGATGCTTCATTTCTAGACATCTTTGGTAAAATCTACAGTGACAGAGAGATGTAACTATGAAACCAAACAAGGAGACAATAGTACCTATGTAAGAGCAGATCCTTGAATAGGAGACAATGGAGCATACAGGACAGTTGTGACAGGGATCATGGGCCCCACCCTTGTGTAGGATGAAACTTTAGGATGGGCAGAGAGGGGAGAGGGTACAAAGTAGGCCCTTCCTCCAAGCTGGATATAATCTCTGAGTTCCTTCCCATGGCATTGTATCTGTATTCTTGTATCTCTCATTCCATATGTGAGGACAGGAGTTGGTCTGTCTCATCTTTGCATCCTCATCAGTGCCTGGTTAATGCCTCATGCTAAATCAGTATTCAGTAATTAGAGGACTTCAGAGGTAGATTGGCTGCACTGAGATTCTGGGGTTTCTACTGGCATTTGTAATTCACAGATGTAGTTTATCCCATTTTCATAGTGAACAACTTCATTCAGTCATTCAACGAATATTTATTGTAAGATAAGGCACTGTTCTGAATACTGGGGATAGAGACAAGCATCATAAATTTTGGATTCTAGTGTGGGTAGACAAAGAAAAACAAAGATGTAAAATGTATAGGATATCAGTCATCAATGCTATGGAGAAAAATAAAGCTGGGAAGGGGCTTTTCAATTTTTTTAATTTTTATTTTTTTCAATTACAGTTGATATTCAACACCATATTAGTTTCATATGTACAGTATAGTGGTTAGACATTTATGTAACTTAATAGTGATCCCCCGATAAGTCTAGTACCCACCTGGTACCATATGTAGTTATTACAATATTATTGACTATATTCCCTACGCTGTGCTTTACATCCCTGTGACTATTTTTGTAACTGCCAATTTGTATTTAATCCCTTCACCTTTTTCACCCAGCCCTCCAATCCCCTTCTCATCTGGCCACCATTAGCTTGTTCTCTGTATCTAAGGGTCTGTTCGTTTCATTTGTTCTTTTATTTTTTTAGATTCCACATATAAGTGAAATAACATGATACTTATCTTTTTCTGTCTTATTTCACTTAGCAAATACCCTTTAGGTCAATCCATGTTGTCCCAGATGGTAAGATTTCATGCTCTTTTATGGCTAATATTCCATTGTATATATGTACCACCTCTTCTTTATCTTGTCTTCTATTAATAGACATTCAAGTTGCTTTTATCTTGGCTATTGTAAATAATGCTGCAGTGAATATAGGAATGCAAATTAGTGTTTTAGACTTCTTTGGATAAATACCCAGAAGTGGAATTTCTGGGTCATAAGGTAATTCTATTTAAAAATTTTTGAGGAACGTGCTTACTGTTTTCCATAGTGGCTGTATCCATTTTTAAAAGAAAGGGTCAGAAAAGGCCACTATGCAGGAGATACTTGAGCAGAGACTAGGAGGAGGTGGGGAGCTAACCTTGTGTGAATGTGGCAGAAGCCTTTTCCGGGAAGGGCAAGGCCTTGTGTGGGACTCTGGTGAACAAGTTGCAGCAAGGAGGCCATAAAGTTCTTCTGTGATTTGTCCAGGTTTCATCAATACAGATCATTCATCTGTTGATGATCATGTGTTGTTTCCACATTTTGGCTGTTGTAATGCTATTATGAACATTGGTGTACAAATATCTGTTTGTGTCTCTGCTTTCTTTTGAGTATACGTCTAGGAATGGAATTGCTGGATTATATAATTGTTTAGTGTTCTGAGGAACTGCCGAAACTTTTACATAATGGCTGCACCATTTTACATTCCCAGCAGCAATGCACAAGGTTCTGATTTTTCTATGTCTTTACCAACGCTTTTGTTTTTTGTTTCATTTTGTTTTGAATAGCCGTCCTAATAAGTGTAAAGTAGCACCTCATTGTGGTTCAGGCTTTAGTTTTCTCACTGACTACAAATTTGTGATCCATTGTCAATAGGTATATGTATTTTTAGTTTTTGTCCTAGTGGCTTTGTTTTTTGACTCACTTCTAAATTCATACCAGAGATTCTCAACCAGGGGCAATTTTCATTCTCAGTCCTTCCCTACCAAGGATATTTGGCAATGACTGGAGGAAGACACTTTCAGTTGTCACAACTGAAGGAGGGGGTGTTACTGTCATCTAGTGGGTAGAGGCCAGAGATGCTGCTAAACATCCTACACTATACAGCACAGCTACTTGCAATAATTTGGCCTCAAATGTCAATAGCGCCTTAAATCCTTTTGGGAATAAAGCAAAAATATATAGTGAACTACTCTAAACTAAATGGTATCAATATTGTGACAAAGATGCAGAAGGCATAACTTTATATAATAGCCTCTCTATACATAACCAGATTGTATATATTCAAATATACTTATTGAATAAGTTGCTAATTTAATAACCTAAAGTACAATGTGAGATGAAAACATTGCCATTAATATTTTCAAAAAAAAATTAGTATGTTCCTGAAGGAAATAACAAATCTAGATATCTGGCTTCTCATGAAATTGAAAAATATCATATACCAGACTCTCTGTCTGGCACTAATTATATGTGTGTGGACCAGGTAGATACGGTGCCTGTACTCATAAAGCACAAACCTCATGAATAAACATCTGGTGTTAGGCTGAGCATTTTTTACAGTGTTTTGATGCACCTCCCCTTTAAAGTTGAATATTTTAAGAAAACAAAAGTTTTTATAAAATGGAAAATTTTAATTATTTAAAGCAAAGGCACGAGTAAACATTTCAGGTTATCATACAATGTTACAATAAGAAATTCTAACAGTAAAATGAAATACTTTATAATTTTGCATCTCTATAGTATATTATTCTATCATCTCTTCTTTAGAGTGAAAAGAAGGGATAGGTAGATCCATGGATATGATGTAAAAACCTGGATTATAAATAGCATCCACTCTACTTTTTAATCAGAAATTTAATTTCAGTAGAATGAATTGAATTAAAATTAACCAAAAAAACTTAGTTTTGTTAATGAGAGAGCAGCAGTAACTTTCTTGCTAAAGCTCATTGTTTAAATAAAGTAAATCATTACTTTCTGCAATGTTAGCTGTAGATGTGTGGTACTACAATAATCAAACTGGTCATGAAAGGGATTTATTTTAAATCTGAAAATTATAGTGTATTACATAAAAGATAAAGGAAAATGAGGAACCAAGTAATTTCTTATGATGTCAGAAATAAAATACTTAAAAAGGTCTAAGACCTTGTTTTCAATCAAAGGCACTATCTGGAGTTTTTTTCTGTCCTTCCAAAACAGCCAGCCAGTTATTTGGGACTTTGTTGTCTCAATTAGTCATCAAATATTGAGTGCCTAATATTTATCAATAATATCAATAAAAGGGTAGAAATTGTGTAAAGTTACATCTTTGACTTTTTTCCAGGAAGAAAAAATTTACCACTAACTTTTTAAAAGCTGTTGAAGTATTTGGATCTAAAGGTCTCTGTTTCATCACCACAATGCAATTTCCATTTTATTCAGGTCACTTGTAAGCCTCTAGTATCAGCATTTCAACCCAGGATGGCAATGATGCCAGGGATGTAACTATCCCCAAGGGAGTAAGTTTTTTTTTTTAATTGTGAGTTTTAAAAATTTCATTTATTTCTGCCACTCCCCTCGCCCCCCGCCCCAGCCCAATAACTGTTTAACTTAATACCATTTAAATGACATAAAATAACAGACACTAATTAAAATCTATCAAGAAAACATTGTCCCATGCTTCAAAGTCTTAATCTGAAGGAAATGGAACCCAATCAGAGCAGAGTAACCTGTTGCATCCTAAGGCCAGGAAGATTTTAAACCCTTCAAAGGAGTATTTTAATGAAAGATCTTGAATGAGAAGATTGTTTCTCGTTTTTCATTGTCCAAATTACAAGAGTATCAATGGATTAAGATTTACTTACCATGATTCTTTTAATACCTAATTCCTAACCAGAAACAGTACTCATGAAATTCTCTAAGAATACCTTTCAAAATTTAGAATTCAACTGTGACTCCAGAAAGATGTTCTTACTTTTAAAGTCAAATGATAACAATGATTCAGTTAAGAATACCTTAAATGTCAATGATACATACTCTAAAGAACAGTGCTAAGATTCTAGAATTCTTTCTCCATTCCCAAAGGTACAGCTATCCTTCCTAAATTGTCTACGGTGTCAAAGACTTCATGATATAAAACAGCTGGCACACTTTCCATTTTGAATAATCCTGAGTCTAAGATTCATCAGGAAATTTTAGGTTTCCAAATTATTAGTTCAACAGCAAAAGCAAATGGTTCGATCGTCTACTGAGACAAACTGAAGTAAACCTACATTTTAGAGTATCTAAATCAAGGGTCAGCAAACTTTTTCTCTAAAGAGACAGATAGTAGATATTTTAGGCTACTCAACTCTGCCACAGTAGCACAAAAGCAGGCATAGATATTATATAAATGGATAAACATGGGTATCCAATAAAATTTTATTCACCAACACTGAAATTTGAATTTTATGATTTTCATGTAACACAAAATATTATTCTTTTGATTTTTTCCTCAACTATTTGAAAATGTAAAAACTACTCTTAGCTTGTGGGTCACATAAAGACAAGCAGCTTGCTAGAATTGGCTCATGGGCTGTAGTTGCTTATCCCTGGTCTAGATCATTTAGATTTCTTGATGTAGGGGTCAAAGCAATCATGTGGCCGTGCATCAAATCATCTCATTTCACTTGGGCATCAACAGCCTCTAGGCTGACAGTCATGAACAACAAAAAGAGGAACCCAAAAGCACCAATCAGACAATTCTGGGAATAGTATCTAATTCATAAGCTGTGTAGAACTTATGAGTGTTGCTACTTATATATCTATACATAGATATAGATATGCATCCAGGTAACACATTTAAATAAAATTTATTTAAATCACATTAATTGTCAGCAATGCAGGGGATTTAGAAATTCATTAGCTGAACCTTTTCAAACACTTTGGTATCAGAGAAATCTGAATTAAAATCTTTGCTATTTACTAACTTGTGACCACAGGTAAATTACTTAGCTACTAGAATTTAGCCTTGTGCTATAGACATAGCAGGCATGTTTTCAATCTCATTTCTCAAGCAAATAGCTACAAAGGACTTGCTGGAAAAGCCTAGTCCATGGAGATACCATGAGGCTTAACTTCTGGTTTTAGACAGAAAATTATTTTTGTCTCTTCCACTCCACTCTGTCATATAATTTTTTTTGCATGCAACATATTGTGCCCAATTCTACCTCCATGTATACTGAATTCTACCTTCCCCTCTTATTCTCGAAGGCTATTTTTTTTCCATGGGCTGCTGATGAAATTGAGCATGGAAAGCATCAGTCAACACATTCTTGTTGTCTTTCCATAGTGCAAGTATAATTTGGGTGTTTCCTCCAATTTATCAATGATAGGCATTCAGTTTTCTAGGAAAAATAGTCTAGATGATAAAAAAAAAAAGGGAGAACTGCTAGGAAAGAATTCTTATGGCTTTATCTATAGATTAGTAATTAGAGAATCTGAAGATAATGTTCATAGATTACTGGCAGATATAACTGTTGTGTATCTTGGACTTCAGTCCATTCCTTAAATTATATTAAGTAGAATATTAGCACTAAGTAATACGTGCTGTAACCTCTTTAATCATGGAAAATTTATTAGTTATATACACATGAAGTAAGAGTTTCACTACTAGTGTTTTTGAACAAGCATCAGTTAAGTTATGAATCTGCTAGTGAATTCTAAGCAAAATACTAAGGCTATTAAAATATTAGTGTTTGGCTTTATTTTCAATTTTCTTTTAACCTCTATTTACAGAAGTCCTGTTAGAATGCTGGAGGCAGTCATATTGCAACATGTACATTCTCCTTATAAAATGATGTCAATGTTAGGCAATACAGATTTATAAATTATGTACAAAAAAACCCAATATATTTGTAGTTAACCTACTGCTCTGAGTGGTAAGCAATATATGGAAGCATTGTATGCACATAAAAATTAGAAATCCAAACAAAACTTAAAACTCCCAAGACAGATAACCATTAATTTGTATAAAGTTAAACAGAAAAAAGACACTGTGTTTGGGAACTTCTAGTGGCCTACTAATAAAGCAGTAATATTAATCGAAAATAAAAAAGTTCCCCAAACACAAAAACACTAGGTAAATCAGATGTATGTCTTGGTCAAATGTTTGTAGACAGCTGTCCTGAAAACAAATTGATAAACATGAATATACAATTTGTTTATTGAGCATAAAATATTGCACAAGAGCAGTTCTGTCTGAAGAAAATTCAATTTTCTATAGTTTCGAACTTCAAAATGGTTACCACGTTTAGATACAATTGCGTTTTCTAAACAAGAAACATTAACATTCAGTAATACTGTTAGAACCTTATTTTTCCCATTAACCATATTCCAGTCTACTTTATAGCAATGGTAAGTCAGTGGTGAAGATTTGGCAAAGGTAAAAAAGCAGATAAGACTGAGAAAAAAATATATATGTACATATGAAACAGATATGTTCCAAAAACCCTTAATCATATGATAATTGATCCCTTAAAATAAATCCGCAGTCTAGTTCACAGTGACGGTCAGACAGTGGTTGAGTACGACTCTTTTCTTTTCGGGGGCCGCTCCTTTTGAGCCACCCCATCGCTCTCTCTGGTCTCCAGTACATTGTCTTCTGTTTCGCTTTCACTACCATCTGCCACAGCGGGGTCTAAAGACATCCGGCCGGATTTTCTGTGCAAAGGAAAACCAACGCCGCTCTCCTGTAAGGAATTATCTATAAAATCTTCATCAGAGGAATGGAATGATTCATCATCTCCAATTAAATGGTTGACAATGTGGATTCCATCAAAAGGGGGTTGATTTGAGAAGCCCCTCTGGCCTTTTAGGCACCTGAGCTGTCAAAACAAAATCCAAGTTAATATACTCAACTAGGGGAAACAATACACCCCGCCCCCAAAGAAGCAAATATTTCATGTTTAAGAAAGATGATACCCTGATCTTTTATCATTTATAGATTTAATAGTAACTATCAATTTTTGTGTGTTATGTAATGGGCACATAATTTATTATTTTAACTGAATCATCACAACAGTCCTATATGGTAGATTTTCTTCATTTCAGAAATTACGAAATAGACACAGGCACATAACTAATAGTCAAGCTGAGATTCCAATTAATCCTTCATTTTACTGGAGATAATATAATGAACACATGTCCCCAATCACCAAATTTCAACAACTACCACGGCCTGGAAATTATTGGTACATTATACTTCTCCAGTCCCTGGATTATTTTGAGGTAAATCTCAGACATCCTATCAGTTCACCTGTAAATATTTCAGTGAACATCTCTAGAAGATATGGACTTAAAGACCACACTATGAACTATCACACGCACTGTCTTAAGAGCATGTCTCTATAATTCAGTGAATAATGAAAATGATTTACAAATTACTAACATTTGCTATGAGTCTCCATCTTGTTACAATATTCTAAAGACCACCACACCACTATAACTCAGTTAGGGCAGGAAAGCATCTTCCCACTAATGATAACTTCCCTCTATGTGGGGGGAATTATGTAACCTTTTTGGCTCCACTCCTCTATTCTTTACCGTGGAGTCGGAAAGAGGAATGGCATGTACTGCTCTTTCCATCTTCGGGAGCCAGGCCCTTTTTCTCTATCCCTGGAGTTTTACAGGGCCAGACCCTCATGTGGGAAGGGCTGTGAAGATTAAATACTACCTATTACTGGGTGGGCAAGTGTGGCTAATTCTAGAGTTCAGTATTGAAAAACCCACTGTCACACATTTAAACCATATTCTCCAAAACCAGTTTTATCAGAAAGTAAGGTGATTTCTTTATCATCTGTCACTTCTTTGCCTAACTTCCTTCAAAACCCACCACCATGGATACTACTCCTTCCACTACCATGCAATTAAGACAGCCCTGTCCTCAAGAGTTTATATTTTAAGTATAAAAATTAATTTTGATATTATCACTTGTTTAATTTCTCCCATAAATTATGAAGTTTATCCTACAATAAAACAGAAGTTAAAAAAATACAAAACAAATTAGTAGTTACAAAACAGTCACGGGATGTAGAGTACAGCACAGGGAATCACTTCATAAATTATACAAATGTCTAACCATTGTGCTGTATACCTGAAACTAATATATAAAAAAAAAATCCAAAACAATACAAAACAATTAACTATCCAAATCTACCTTGTCTATCAAGAATTTGGCTGAAATATACTCCATGTCTCCTACCTTTATCATTACTATCAACCTTTAATTTTGTTTCTCAGGGACAAATTCCTGGTCACATAACCATCTTTCAAATCTTGAGATAAAGGCAATGTGAAATATTCAGGAAATATTACATACACTTTCAAAACTAACGGTTCTCAGAGTAAAGACATGACAGCTTTGCCA